GAGCAGGGAGCCCGATGCGGGGCTCGATCCCAGGACCCTGGGATCATGACCTGAGCCAAAGGCAGACGCTTAACGACTGAGCCACCCAGGCGCCCCCCCTCCCCGTGACTTTCAAATGTCTGTCTGGATGCCGAAAGGGGCAGGGATGCCCCTCTGCAAACACGTGAGCCCAGAGTCCAACTCCATTTTAAACATAAGCACAAGGCATTTCCAAATGTTCAGGTGTACATGGAATCGTCTAGTAACTCAGGTACCATGAACGTGGAGGGAACGCCGTGCTTTGTGATGCTGAGAATCTTCCCGAGAGTCACTCACCACTTTGGAAAATCGAGTCACCGGTACCCCACCCCCCAGTTCTGGGAGTTTGTCACCAGTGTGTACCCTGTCTGTGCTATGGTCCCCTCTGTAACTGCCCCACTCACAGTGATCTGGCCAACAATCCGATTTAGTGATGATTTCAAGATGACAAATGTACAAGGCTTAAGGAACAAGGGTCAATCATATTCAGATGGGTATTTGAAACTTGGCTTTACAGCTTCACCCACAAATGGATGGTTACTTTGCCAAGGCTTTTTTACCCCCTAACGAAGCAATGAAACCACCAAGGCTAAGTAAACCTTTTCAAAGAACCGCACTGACCAAGGTGGCAAAACTGCACCCCCTTTCTCACCATCTCCCTGCCGCCTGTGGCCACACAAACCAGTGGCTCCTGTCCCTTCTGTCTCCGTCAGTGAGAGCCCCGCCACACGCTCAAGTAAGTCTGCCTGGGGACAGCTGATCCTGACCCTGGTTTTTACGCTAGCATTAGTCATGCACACGCCTCTGCGTGTCACGATTTCCCTGCCCTCCACATATGCAAACGGCTCCCAAGCTTCGGTTGCCCCGACACGCACACTTACTCGTCACAGTGGGGCAAACTTGTCACGACAACTCTTGTCCAGTGTGGTCATGCCTGAGCACTGACACTCTGGAAATCAATTACTTTCGTATGTCATTTACTTGCCTTTTATTTGCTCTGTAGATTACAACTAGGGTACTATATCGGTTTTTAAAAATTGTGTCTAGGTAGGTTATAATATCTCTAAGTTTCCCTTCCAGATAGTAAAGGGGTGTCCTATCTGAGATACCTCTTCTAAAAGGGGGGTACTGAAGATGTCCAGTCTAGGCACATGTAGGTATGGGAGCCGGGGGAGGGGGTAGGGAGAGAAGGAGAAAGTACATCAAGGAAAGAAGGAGGAACCAGGAACAGTCAGAGGACCATGAGGACCATCACCATGTGAGCAGGGTGAGAAAGCCCCGTGGAAGCTGGGTCCTGACCCAGCCCCCTCGCCTCTGAGAAGGTTCAGAAACGGATCTGCACTCAGGGAGGCTTAGGTGCAATACCACCAATGACCAGCAGGAGGAGCCAACTCTGGGACCCTCGCCTGCTCCTGAGCCCAGCACCCAGAGGACCCCCTCAGAGGTCCTGCCTTCTGGCAGTGGTGGATTCCGCCGTGGCCTGACGACACCCAACAGTTCTTGGCTGCTTCATAGCCACACATCTGTCTCTTAGAGCTGTCCACCCTCGGGCCCCTTACCGGTCCAGCCCCTGCCTCTGTCCTCAGGGTCCACCCTCCCCGGTCCTTACCAGTTACATGCCCCTTGGCAAGGGTCCTATTTCTCTGACCTTCAGATGTCTTTGTGGTAAAAACGGGGGTGGTAACTGTCTGCTGTGGGGACTCAGCAAGGCTATGCACGAAGGAGCCCCGGGGCCCAGCTGGTTCTGGGGATGGGGGCTGTCCTTATCATTACTGACCAGAAGGGCTTGGGCTCCGGCCACCGGCCCGGATGCGCAGAGCTGTCAGATTGGCGAGCAGCCGCTGGAAGTGGAAGGGGGGCAGCGGAGGGTCCACATCCCCGGAGGTCTCCTGCAACCTGACAGGGGAGGGCGTCAAACTGGAACCCAAGGCTGGGGGCAGATGGTGCCAAGGAGCCTCCAGCAGTGGCGGAGAGGGCGGGAGGCCCCAGACCACAGGACAATCCACGTGTGCCCAGACCTCAGGGCCCACCCTGACTGCCCAGGCCCCGCTCTCAGGACACAGCAAGACACTTACTCGAACCTGAGCTGTACCTCCCCGGGCTGCCCGGCATCCGGGGGGCCGGAAAGGCTGGAGTGCTGCAGAGTCAGGGCCAGGCCCACCCCTTCCAGCCTCAGCTGCACGGGGAGTGGGGAGCTCCCAGGGGGGACCCAGAAGGTCAGTGTGAGGGGCTGTCCATAGCTGAACCGCTGATCTCCCAGGAACTTCTCTGAAGACGAGAAAAAGGCTTGTCTTCACTTAATTAGCTTGAGTTTAAAGATTTTGTCTCCGGTATATTGATTTTATTGACAATTAAACATCCAAACAAGATAAAGTGACAGCAGGGAGAAAGCCAAAGGCTCCCTGCAAAGCAGACGCTGAGGGTGGCCGCACGCCCCCCTGCAGGCCTGCTTCATGTCCCTGTGCCCCTGTAGTAACACAGGGCCCCACGCCCGGCTTACTGCTCTGCTGTCACTGTCTCGAGCTTGGGTTTTGTAAGTGAAGCCTGATGGGGCAATGGAGTCTCTGGACTCTGGAGCACAGCAGACACGCGTGTTGCACACGGTGGTGGCATCCAGCCGTCCCCGTCACAATCCGTGCTCACAATACCCCACCGGCAGCTTCTGGTGGCCCCACGCGTGGGGAGCTTAGTGAGGCTCAGAGCACGTACAAGGTAAGCCTGCTCCACGTGTGGCTACGCAGGGGCGCTGACCGCCCCGGGGCCACGCTTTCCACGGGCGTCAGAACACGTTTCGAGCAGAAAGAAGGTGGTGGCCTCCTAAGAAACACAGAGGGCCCAGGGGCCCTATCACACACAGCCTTCGAACTCGGGCTGTTTTTCTGTATCTTCCAACTGCTTCAGCTGAAAAACCCCCACGTGGCAAGAAAGGGCCCCACTGGCCCCTCGTTGCTTATCTCCCTCCCGTCCCCCGGCACTCAGGAATCACTGGGAGGCAGAGTGTGCTGGGAGAATGTGGTGCGTATCAAGATGTGAAATCAAAATGGTTGATTCTGTCCACCTACCTCGCCCACTGCACCATGCCCAGCACCCGGCACAGGACCCAGCCAATACCTCTTAAGCAAAAAAACTACTTTTTCTTAAGCCTGTCCAAAAAGCACCACGGAATAGAGTGTGTTTTGTGCTCTTAGACCTCTGAGCTTGGAGAACCTGCCCCAGGACGGGGTTCTCAAGACCCCTGGACTTTTGCTTCTTGCCAGGTGCTGTGTCCACAGAGCAAGCCGGATCTCTGTGCACCATCGCTCTGGCCCTTCTCGGAGAGGGAGGTCAAGGGCAGGACTGGGTCGGGGGAGCCAGTGGACCCGGAATCTGGCCATAGGAGAGCTAAGAATGGACTGACTCCTGGATCCTGGTTCCAGGTCTGGTACAGTTCCCAGGAGACCAGAGTTGCCCTACTTGGTGGGGGGTGGTTCAGAATAATCTAGAACTTCTTGCTTCTGCAGGAATCCCAGGACCCTGGGAGGAGGGTGCCATGGCCTGGTGGGGTGAGAGACTGATGGATGATGCACAGGGATTTCTGGGGCCTGAAGGGGCCTGGTGGCAAGCCCTTGATCAGAAATCAGGCGGGGGAGGGGTGCTCCAGCAGACTGTGCGGGGCGTGTAGTTGGTGGAAAAATGGCCCCCAAAGGTATCCATGTCCTGATCTAAGAAATCTGTGAATACGGTATGTTGCATGGCAGGGACAATGAAGATTGCAGATGGGATAAAGGCTGTTCATCAGCTGACCTTAGAGTAGAGAGATTATCTTGGATTGTCCACCTGGGCCCAGTGTAATCACAAAGCCCTTCCTACGTGGAAGAGGGACTAAGAAGAACTGACGTCACAGAGCTACAACAGGGAGAGATCCCTCGGCTCTGAAGACGGAGGAGGGGTCTCGAGCCGAGGGATGGGAGCGGCCTCCAGAAGCTGGAGAAAGCAAGGGAACAGATTCTCCCCTGGAGCCTCAGGAGCGCAGCCCTGTGGATGCTGTGATTTTAGCCCCGGGAGACCCATTTCAGACTTCTGGCCTCCAAGACATGGAGAGAATAAATCTGCATTGCTTTTAGCCACTGGGTTGGTGGTCATTTGGCATAGCAGGAAATGAACGTGGGGCAGTCCTGCCAACCCCACGTACCTGGTAGCGTAAGCTCCTCCTCGTCTCCTGGATTCAGGAGGATCCCCCTTGGGCTCCATCGTGCAGGATGCTCTGGGCCCCCCACACTTCTGGTCCGCCAACCCTGGGCTCCTGGACAGCAAACACACATGCCCATGTGAGGCTCTGGAGGGTGGCCTCCACCCCCTCCCTCTTCACACCCTTCCCGGGGGTCCCACTGATGGCCCCCAGAGGCCTGAGCACAGCCTGAAACAACCGACCCCGGTAGGTGGGGAGAGACAATTCTAGAGACAGGTCGGGGTTGGGGGGGGGCGGTGAGAGCCAGCTGGTGCTCCATGCTGCCCACAGCCAGGCAGCTCAGACCCCCACCCCAGAGTCAGCATGGGGGTCTTAGGGTGGGAGGTAGCCCCAGGAAAAGTGAGAAAGCTCAGGGTGCTGGCTGTTTAGGGCAAGGTCCGACCTCTGAGCCTGCCTTGCCCCTTCAGTGGGCCCTGAATACAACATAGGACACAGTCTGGAGACCCCAGCACGCGGCACTGAACAACAGGACATCTCTGACAGTACCGGACTTGACCTCGTCCTCAGATCTTCCGAGAACTTCCTCACCCGCAACCTCACCACGCCTGTCCTTTGAGCTGCACGTGTCATTAGCCCCACCGCACTCCAGGAGGCCACCTCGTTAGGAAGTGGTCAAGCCAGGGTGAGAACCCAGACCTTCCCATCCCCCGTCCCGTCCACCCTCCCTCTGGTGACGGCACCACACCAAGCAGAGTCCGGCACAGAGCAAATGACCCCAAGGGAGCAGCTGGGAAAGGGGGTGGAAGCCTGACCCCTGGGGCACCAGAGGGGTGAGGAGGGAGGGATGAAGGGAAAGAGGTCAGAAAGAGGAGGTCTGCGGCTCCCTGGTGCTAGACTAAGTTCTGCCCCTCGCTGGCTGTGTGACGCTGGGCAAGTTACTTCACCTCTCTGAAGCTGGTTCCTTATCTGCAAAATGGGGACAACGGAGTACCTCTGGCCCTGGCAACAGTTCTCAAAGTTGGCCTAAATACCCCGGGAGATTCTCGAGACTCAGGGAACCCACGAGTTCGAGCTATCTTCATAGTAACACCAAGATGAAATTTGCATCTTTCATGCTGCGTCTGACCAACACACGGTGGAAATTTCCAGAAACTGCAAGTCATGTGCTATCACAACAGACTGAGCTCTACTAATCCAGCCTTAAAGAGATGTGCAAAAGTATACACATGCACTCCCCTCTTTTTGTTTTTTTTGAAAAACAGCTTTTTTGCACAGGCTGATATTATTTTATGCTACACATTTATTCTGGTCATTTTTAAGTGAATTAATATACAACTATTTTAAAATTACTGTTTTCATTTCTAATACCGAAAATACCCACGTAAACTACCCACGTAAAGAACAGTACTTGGAGGTCCTCAGTAATTTTCAAGAGCATGAAGGGATCCAGGGACCAAAAAGGCTTGAGAAGTGTGGCCTGAGGGTCCCTGTGAAGTATACGAGATGCTGAGAGAGATGCACCAAACCCAGCGCCTGGCTCAACGTGAGAACAGAACATGGTATTGTTCTTAGGATCTATAAAACGAGTCCCATCTGATGCTAACACCCTAGACCGCCCCCCCCCACCAGGTGACCTCAAGGCGGGGTCCCATCTCCGTCCTGCTTTCTGCGCAGTGTCCAGCAGAGGGCGCACTGCCCCCTGTCTGGGGCCCCTCCTGCCTGGCGGAGATGCAGGGGTCAGGGGACTCTGCTGGGCACGGCAGGGGTTCCTGTAGGCTGTGATTTAATGCAGAGCTCCACTGCCCTCCAGCTCCAAAGATGCACGTGCACGCACCTGCAGTTGGGGACCCAGGGCACCCTGGTACCCCCGGACCCTGTCCCAGACAGAAGGCTGGCAGAGCAGCTGAGAGCAAAACTCAGGAGCTGACAAACCTGGATGCCAACCACTAAACTCTGTGACATACCTTTTCTGGGCCTCAGTTGTCTCATCTGTAAAATGGGAATGAGAGTACCTACCTTCCAAGGACTCTGTGGGTTCCATGCATGTAAAGAACTCAGCACAGTGCCTGGCACACAGCAAGCGCTCAATAAATGGAGTCCAGGGGATTGTTCGTGAATCCCCAGCACTGGGACACGTCACGGGAGGCCAGTATTGACAGACTGATTAGAAACTCCCCCACAGGATCTAAAGGCTGTCACCTACCCAGCTCCCAACCCTGCTGGAGGCTAGGGAGGGAGCCAAGGGGTGCAGGTAGGTACTGGGGAGTGCTGAAGGGTGCAGAGGGGCACATCTTGCGTGGCCTGTGTGTGTGAGCCCGCGGGAGATGCCTCCCCTGCAGCCTGAGGCTGCCCCCTCCTTCCCACCCCCACCCCTACCCCCACCCCCAGTACTGCAGGATCTCCCCAGAGCAGGACCGCCCCACCCCCCCGCCGGGAGGTCGCTGTGGGGGCGATGGGAGGCGCTTCCTACCCTGGCGGAGGTCGGAGAGGATGTGGTGCTCCCGAAACTGGGCAGCGGCCGCACACACCTTGGAGTGGCCGTAGCAGAAGCAGCTGGTGCAGCCGGCCAGGTGGTGGGGCTGCAGGTTAAACGTCCCCGGGCGACATCTGAAAGGAGCGCAAGCCCCGGGGGAAGGGGGTGGCAAATGAGCCAGGGAGGTTCAGGGGATCCCAGCTAGATCAAGGTGAGTCAGAATCACTGGGGAAACTTCAAAATATATATATACACATTTTCGGATTTACAGGAGTTGCGAAGATCATGCAGAGAGTTCCTGTGGCCTCTTCACCAGCTTTCCCTGACGTCAGCAACACGGCAAGGGCGCACTTAACTGCGCCGAGAAATTCGCGTGAGTTCACGTTAGTTCCCGTTATGTCCTAAACTCCAGACTTGATTAGGATCTCTGCCCTTTTTCCCCCAATGCCAGTTTTCCTGGCCCGGATCCGATCCGGGACCACGGGACCACGGTGCCTCCTCTGGTCTGTGCAGTATTCTTGTCATCCACACCCTTGACGCTTTTGAAGAGTAGTGCAGATGTTTTGCAGAATGCCCCGCAATTCGGGTTTCTCTGATGCAGTCTCATGATTAGACTGGGGTCATGGGTTTGGGGAAGCAACAGAGGTGAAGTATCCCTCTCGTCACATTGCACTGGGGTAAATGACGCCCCTGTGAGATCCGGGAGTGTTAACCTTCACCGCCTGGTCAAGGTGCAGCCCGCCCACGGGCTCCTGCACCTTCTGCCTTCAGGAGGAAGTCACTAAATGCAGCCCCATCCCCTGGAGGGCGGGGGACACACGCAGACACCACCACCACCGTAATTACCAAATATTTTGCGAGGGAGATATTTGGGGCAATGCGAATACCCTGTTTCTCCTTAAAATCCTGCCCACTCAATTAGGTGGCTCTTGCCCATCGCGACCATTACTGTGAAATTCAAACTGATTTCCTATTTCTCCCCCTTCCTTCTACATTTATTATTTGGAATTCTTTCACCAGGAAGATTTGTCCTCTCGTCCCGGTGTTATTTATTTTTCCCCTCTCATCTGTTTATATCAGTGGGGACTCACGGATATTTATTTGATTCTTTGGGTTATAATCCAATACCATCATTATTTATTTTGTTGTTCAAACTGTTCCAGCTCTGGGAGCTCTTTCAGGTCGATGTTTGTGTCCTCAGGCCCCCATCCTAGTTTAGAGGTTTTTTTCTGTTCGTTTTCGTCTGGTTTTGTTTTTAATTAAGTACTTCCTTGCTCTCTGTGACGACCAGACACTCTGGGCTCATCCGGCATGGTCCCGGCCCCAGCCCCGGGATCAGCCATTTCTCCAAGGAGTCCTGGAGAAACATTTCACAGACTCCCGGTCTGCGCCTGGGGGCTCCGTGTGAGCCAGCCGGGGCAGAGGTATCGGATTCGTAAGAAGCTGTCGATGACCCCCGGGGCCCAGCCAGTTCTGAGGAGCACAGCTCATCAAGCTGTCCCATTTCACAAATGGGCAAAGTGAGGCTCAGAGGGAGGACCCCCTGAAGGTGCAAGGCGGAGGGGGGCAGAGCTGTGGGAGAACCCAGGTGGGGGTCCGGTTCCCCGACTCCACTCTGTTTCCTCACCTGAGGGATCTCAGGGAAGGAAGTCCCATCAGGGAGCCGAGCTCCCACCCCAGGGCCTGCAGGCCACATGTGGACGAGGTGAGGGGGTGGCCTGGGGCTGACCTAGGCAAGTCAAGGCCAGGGCCAGCCACGGCTTCTTCTGACCCAGTAGAGACCCAGCGCACACTGACAAGAGTCGAGTCCATGATATAATGCTGTATCAGGTGCTTCACACACAGGTCTGCAGGCAGAGAATCAAAAAGCCCCCAACAGACCCTGCGCTCGTTGCAAAGGGCTTCAGAGGTCAGAGCCAAAGCCAGGAAGAGGAGACGGTGTGTGCCTAAGGAGGTAAACCCACATTTGTCCACCAGCCCTACTGCTTGGGGCTTGGAGGTCCCCTGAACACACCAAAGAGGAAGTTTAAGGATCATGTGGCTTTGGAAAAGTAATTTTGCCTTGTGGAACTTCGGACACTCCATTTGTACCACGATAGGATGACAAAGATGGCAAAGCGGTTGGAATCGCAGCTCAACTGGTAGAAGCTTCTTGGAGTAGGGCAGAGAGGATTCTGAGGTTATAGTGGGGCTCATGGTAAAGACCACGGCATTCCACTAGTGATGTCTGCCCTGGGGGTGAGCGGGGAGGGCAGTGGTGGGAGTATCAGGTATTTGCTATTCCTGGATTAGAGCATCTCTCCTATCCTTTCCAGCTCTTTTTTTTTTAAGATGTAAAAGAAGAATGGCTATCACAGCTTATAACCATCAGTGTAGGGGTCAAAGCTATAAGCGGTGTCCGGGCGTCGGGTGGTGCAGTCAGTTAAGAGTCCAACTCTTGGTTTCAGCTCAGGTCACGGTCTCAGGGTCGTGAGATCGAGCCCCACGTCAGGCTCCATGCTGAGCATGGAGTCTGCTTCAGGTTCTCTCTTCCTTTCCCTCTGCCCATCCTGCTCGTGCACTCTCTCTCTCGCTCTCTCTAATAAACAAATCTTTATAAACAGTGTCAAAACCTTTAGATAACTTCCAGGACGGCAGACCCACGGTGCCCCAGGAAGGGTGACAGGTGGCGAAGTTGCCCAGGTCTGTATCGGCCCTGCCCCTGCTCCTCCACCACATCATGAGCCCTGAAGTCACTCCCAGCAAGCTGAGGGTCGGATCGGCTCACCCACCTGTCACACAGGTGTCCTTCCACGTTCCTCTTGCAGGGGCAGCGTCCGCTGTGGGGGTCACAGGTGCCCAGGCTGCCGACAGCGCTGCAAGTGCAGGGTCTGCAAGGAGATAGGACAGTAGGAAAGGTATCCAATGAGCAATTCCAGAGTGAGGATAACCCATCCTCCTGAGAGGGAACTTCTCCATCCTTCCCCATTCCCTAGAGAACCAGGAGGTAGGCTGACCCAAGAGCCTGCCGCCTGGCTTTTACCATTCCCACCTTGCCAAGGAAGTGACCCATCCACTCACCTGAAGAGTGATCCATCTGCCAACCCACCCCCTCATCCATCTGTACATTCTTCCAGCCACCTATCCATTTATTCATTCTTCCAGCCTTCTATTGATTGACCCACCCACCCATCCATGCATCTTTCCATCCATCCATCCGTCCATCCATCCATCCGTCCGTCCGTCCGTCCGTCCGTCCGTCCGTCCATCCATCCATCCATCCATCCAACAAGACATGGTTCCTGCCCTCACAGAGCCTACAGTCAACTGAAGATGGACGAACAAACAGGTAGGTACTGTACTTTGATATGTTCTAAGAGGAAATATAAGAGGCCACAGGTGCACCAAGGAGGAGCTTGAGGGGAGGGACAAGAGGACAGGTAGAGGGAAGACTTCCTTCCACGGCCAGAGTTGTGCCTACACCCACTGAGTATTCTGTGGGGCATCCGAGACTCCCCATCCAATCCCGATGCATTTCCATTGCCTTTCAAATACACAAAGAGCCTGTGGTAACCAAAGCCAAGTTCATTTAAAAGTGTTCCTGAGTTTCTAAGAGCTTTATTTTTTTGGTCACGGGTGTTTCTCAATTAAGTGATTGAGTTAGACCAGCATGTTAAACCCCTCTTCTGAGGTCTGGACCCCAGGAGCCCCCTGCCCGTTCTCTCCCCTTGGATGCCCCACCAGCACTGCAGAATCAGCCTCTCCCCGTATTATGCTCCCTGTGTCATGAATGGCCTCCCTCCACCCAGGGGCCTGGGGGCTCTGCCTTCATTCTTCCTCTTCTGCTCCCTGGTGACCACCTCCTGCCAACTCTGCCTTCCGAGGGGCTCTGGAATCTGTCCGGTTCTCTGCCTCTCCGTGGCCAAACCCTACTGCGAGCTGCCATGTCTCCCGGCTGTTCCTACTGCAGCCTCTACCCCGGCCTCCAACCTCATCCCACTCCTGCCTCACACCTGTCCACAGCTCCTCCTGAGGCCTCCGAGGCCCCGTCGGACCCTCCTGCCCTGCACCCCCCGCTCATCCATACCGAGCTTCGCCTTGTACTTGCCTCTGAGCCTTTGAACGCACTCCTCCTCTGCCGGGAACACCTGCCCCTCCCTCTGCCCTCTCTCGGCAGCCTCCCTTCTCAGGCCTCACACTAGGAGCTCAGTGCCTCTCATGGGAAGCCTGCCCTTGACCCCCAAGAACAGCCGGGCTTCCGAGGGACTCATGCCCTGTCTCACATTCTGCAGGGACGGGGTGTCTCTAGTCCTCGCGTGGGACTGGGGGTGGCTGCAGAATGGGAATAAGACGGAATGACGGAAAGAGAGACGGAAGGCCGGAGGGAAGGACAGAGACTCTCCCCTTCCTCCCGCCTCCTGGCATTCAGTCCCAGTCCACCACCTGTGTGCCCTGCGTGGCCGCCTCACCTGCAGCCTCCCTCACTGAGCGAGTGGAAGCCGGGCCGGCAGCGGTCACACTTCCAGCCCGTCACCGTGGGCTTGCAGACGCAGGTGCCCGACGCATCACACTGGAGGCGCAGGGAGCCTGGGGGAGGAAGGGCACAGGGCAGCGGGGGCCCGGTCGGGGCCGGGGGGGGCGGGGGCGCGGTGGTGGGGCCCCCTACCTGCCGGGTGGCAGTCGCAGGGCTGGCACGGCGTCCGAGGGCTCCAGCGATAGAAGTCCTCCTGACAGCGCTCGCAGTGTGGCCCGGCCGTGTGGTCCCGGCAGCGCAGACAGCGGCCGCCGTGGCCCGTGCGGCGGAAGAGCTCCCGGTCGAACGCACACTCCTCCGAGCGGCCACTGCAGTTGCAGGCTGTGGGCAGGAGGCAGGGGGTGGCGCGTGAGCGATGGGCTCGGCAGCAGGGGAGTCTGGGCCAATCCGCCTCCCGGTAACGAAGGAGCGGGCAGCTCCACGAAGGTCCAGCTTGATCAAGGATACGGAGACCAGTCGACTGATCTTCCCCAACGGGACTCTCAAGAGCAAAGGGGGCAGCAAGACCCAGGACCCTCCCAGGCAAGCCGGACGCACCGTCCGCACGCACGGATCACGGCTGGCCACCTTCTGGAGCGGCAGCGTGGCTCGCTCCAAGCTATCTCGTGGATCCGCTCAGCCGTAAGAATTGTGTGGATCTGGCTCCTAGTGACCATGAGGTCATTCAGATGCATGGAAATATAGGTCACCCCTTTACTCATTAATTCATTAAAAAGGGAGTATGTACTAAGGATTGCTCGGTCCGTCTCAACCCCCGTCGTGAGCCCAGCGTGGGTGGGGGGTGGTCAGCGAGCAGCACAAAGAGTGCTGCTCCCTGTTTGACGGGGGCCAGATGCAGCAAGCAAGTGAAAATCCTACAGGTGGAAGGCTGCGGGGAGGCTCTGGGAGCTGAAGGAGGGACCCCACAGGCTGTCCTCAGGGCGGGGGGCGTCCCAGGCGGGAGGTGAGAGCCGGAGCATAAGCCGTGGACAGCCAGAAAAGATCTGCCCAGTGCTGGGGGCGGGGGGAATGCTGGCATGTCACTTGATGGGCAGAATGATGGGACAGGGAGGGGTGCGGGGGGCAGCTATGAGGTCGAGAGGTCAGCAGAGCCTGATCCAGGGAGGCCAGGCAGCCATGGTCAGTGGACTTCACCTGGAGCAAGGCAGGCTCTGGGAGGTTCAGCCAGCGGCTGGGTGTAATTGGGTTGGCACTTTAGCAAGAGCCTCGGGCTGCAGGCAGAGCCAGGCCGGAGGCTGGTAAGCAGGGCAGGGGGAGCTTCAGGCCTGGAGGAGGGGTGACGGAGCTGGGGCCAAGGCGCAGACTGAGTAGAAGGACACAGTCAGGCGGGCCGGAGGGACATGGATGAGGCCGAGCTCAGGGCTGCCTCCCCTGGGGGGTGGCGAGGGGTCAGGCACGAAGCCCCGGCTTCCGGGCTGGTGACAGAGCGGACAGAGATGTGACCACTGGGCGAGGACACGGCAGGAGAAGTGGTCTGGCCTTTTGTGTCCCCACCACAGAGACAGCCTCAGGCTCAGAATGGGTGAGCCAGCCAGCACCGCCTCCTGGGCCCCAGGGAGGACTTCCTGGGGGAGGCAGGCCAGTGAGGGCAACAGAACCCCATGAGGGCCCCGGTGGCCCCGGGAAGCTCCTGCAGACAGCGCTACGCTGTTTGCAGAACAGGCTGTCCCCGCCCCGTCCCAGCTTTGGCTGCCAACAGCCCCGGCCCACGAGGAGAGTGGGCCCAGAGACCGGGCTGTCAGGACCATGCCCATGAACAGGCTCCTCCTGCCAGCAGCCGGGATCCAGGGCCCAGTGAGGGCCAGCCGCCCTCGGGGAGCCTGAAGCAGCAGTTCGGGTGACTCTCTGGGGGACAGGGCAGGCTCGGAGCCCGTGGGAAGCTGGGACGGATGGTGATGGACGGTCCCAACCCCATGCAGCCCCACGTCCCGGGGGAAGGCATGCCAGCACCATCCTCTGCAGCCTGTCTCTGAGGTTCCGTGGTCCAAACCACATCACATGGGGACTGGGACATCAAAGGCTGCCTGGGGGGCCGTGGGAGAGGCTGGGTGGGCAGGTCAGCACCCCCCAGGACCCGGGGCCTTCTGTTCTGGCTCTGATTAGCGGTTGGAGCCCTTGAGACAAAGAACAGTGGGGGGCCTTCCCAGCCCTCCTGCCGCAGCCACCTCCTCCTCGACTGGGGGATTTGGCCTGGGGGAGTGCTTTGTGCTTTGTAGGGGGCAAGGCGGAGGAACGCACGCCCCCTTCCGCTCTCCCCTTGCCCCTCCTCGTCCCTGCAGCCACGGGGGGTTAGTGTCAGGGGCAGCCCCCACTGCCGGCCTCAGGGAGTCTGCCCCCCAGCCGGCGCCACGGCTCCCGGCCCCAGCCCCCCCACCGGCCCCCATTGCCCAGAGCCCCGGGACACTCACGCACACACTCGTTGGCGGCCCCGGCCGTGCCCCGGGCCCACGGGCGGTCCTGGAAGAAGGGCAGGCAGCTCTCGCAGTCGGCGCCCGTGGTGTGGTGCCGACATCGGCAGGCCAGCCGGCCCGCCGCATCGGGACGGCACTCACTGGCGTGCCCATTGCACTTGCACCTGGGGGAACACGGAGACCGGGGTCCAGAAACGGGGGAAGGCACCGTCAGGGGAGGGGTTCATCGCCAGGTAGCCCCTGATTCGACCGCTCAGTGATGGAGCTCCAGGGAAGCCCTACTATGTGCCCGGGAGCTGGCCGCACTGTGCTCTTCTGAGCTCCATCCGCGGACAAACCCGCTGCGTCTTCACGGGCCCGCTATCCTTCCCATTCCACAGACGCGGGAACTGAGGCACGCAGGCTGCCCCGGGCCAGCAGTTAGGAATGGCAAAGTTTGCGAGGCTGCTACTGAAGGAGTCCTAGCCTAGCGACACCCAGAAAGAAGTCATCCCAGTCCCCCGGGGGGAAGGTGGGGCAGCTCACGGGCACGGGGTGGAGGAAGGGGGCAGCCAGCGAGCTCACATAGTCCTCCTTCATGTCTAACGGGGCGAGAAAGAGGTCGCTCCTTACGGAGGACAGCCCCCAACTCATCTCATGTCCCCAGCGGGTCTGTGCCTGGGGGACAGCCCCTGGGGCCCGTTTCCCACAGCGTCCACCTTCCCACAGGGACAGGAGACTGGCAGAACCGGGCAGACCCAAGTGAGCGCATGGGGCCACCACGATGTCCAGCTTCCAGCCTTCCTCTGTGCTGTCCCCAGCTGAGCTTATACCTTCTGCTGGAGCCTCCCTGCTGCAGCAGGAGGGACCACACTCACCCCCATTGCACAGATGAGAAAACGGAGGCTCAGGCCACGAAGAGACAGGTGCTAAGTGGCAGAGCTAGACTCTGCACCCTGTTCTGCTCCACGCAGACCCCGCGCTCCCGGACCCTGGAGGCTGCCTCCTCAGATGCATGGAAATAGAGGTCACCCCTTTACTCGTTAATTTACTTTACTCATCAATTTGTTAAAAAAGGAGTATATACTAAAGATTGCTCGGCACCCCCAGCATCTTCTCCACTTTGGGGACACAAGGCTTGGGAAGAGCACAGGGCATTGTTTCCTCCACGGGAGCCCCGGGTAGGCAGGGAACGCCCTAGCATTTCTGGCAGGGGTGAGGTGGACACCAGGCAGTCTTGAGAGAGGGTGATCCCTGGTCTTGGGACAAGGGACTGCCCATGTCCCTGGGGAGGTCTGCGAACACCACCCTCCCCCATGAAGCCCTCTGACCCCGAGGGGAAGAATGAAATTCTCCTAGGCCATTGTGGGAAGCGGTGCCGGCCCCCTGCCCCCCAGCCAGCTGCAGGCCCGAGGGTGGTCTGGCTCTGGCAGCTGGGGCCCAGATGTTCTCTGGCCCAAAGCCCCCTGACAGAAGGCGCTGGAGCTCGCCACCACCCGCCATCGTGGGGAGCGCCTCCTCCCGGGTGGTTTGACCTGAATCAAGCATGGGAGCGACAGGGGAGGAGTCGCAGAGGGGCCCTCACAGACACCCCCACCTCTTCTCTCCCAGCCCCAGCCTTGCCTGGAGGGTCCCGACACCACGGGTGCAGGTAGCTGGGCCCTGCCTTCCCTTTCTGGGCTTTTCCACCTCTCCGAACGCCACCCAAGCATCCCTGAATTCCAGAAGCTGCTTGCTTCCCACTCACACAGGCCATGACCCCCACAGCAGGCTGACTCCCCATTCTACATAGCCTGCAGATCCACAAGCTTCTACCCGCCCTACCAGCCCCTCTCACGGCCACTTTCTAACGTTCTCTTCTCTCTCCCCTTATCCTTCCCCGTGCAGTGTCAGGGCGTTGGCGACTTTTCACACCCTGTTACTACCCCGGCCAAATCCTTCCACAGCTCCCCACTGCCTGTGGGACATGAAGGAACTCGGTCCACGGACCAGACCATCTTGCAGCCTTGTCTCCAGAGGTGGCTCACGCTGGCCCTTCTGCCCGGGATGCTGGCCTCCTCCCACCTTGGCTGGGCCCCCGTCTGCAGAGCAGTCTCCCTGCCAGCTGGCGCACCCCGCCCTGGCCCCCGTCCTTATTATTCTGGGGTGGAGGACATGTTTGTTGGATACTAATCTGATCACAGTCTGCCACCCCCTTGAGTTTGGGGCGGGAACGCCTCTGTCTTCCTCTTTCCTTTCCAAGAAGGAAGCCCCCAAGCGTTCCTGCTGAAGACACTGCGTGAGCCTCCCCTGGTTCCCCAGCCCGCCATGTGTGCCCAGTACCGACAGCCACGGGGAGACAGGCCAGGGATGTTGAGAAAGACAGGCCTCTGCCCTTTGGGCGGCCCCTGCTTCCCAGAGAGGAGAGATGCTCAGCCAAACCACAGCAGCCCGGGGAGCCAGCACCAGGGGTCCAGATGGCAGAGCCTGGCAGTGCCCACAGGAGAGAGGGGGTCAGAAACGCAGCCCCTGCTCACTCGGGGCCCCTTCCGTGGGGCATTGGAGTGGCCTGACCCGTTCGTCTGCGTAGAGGTGCCTCAGAGTCTTATTTAAAATGTTTGGGTCCCTGTGAAGCCCAACCATACCCAAGGTTAGCAGGAGACTGGGGCGGGAATGGTGTGGATGGGCTGCGTGGTCTGTAAAATCAGGAGTGCTGATAGAAGTAAAGCTTTGAAAGCTTCAAGCCCTGCACGGGCCCGTGGTCATCCTTAACCAGCTTGACTTGGAAAGAAAAAGGAGGGAAGGGAAAGGAACAGAGGGGAAGGGATAAAGGATGAGGAAGGAAGGAAGGGAAGATGGAAGGAAGGAGGGAGAGAAAGAAAGAAGGGAGGAAGGGAGGAAGGAAGGAGGGAAGGAAGGAAGGGAGGGAGGGAAGGAAGGAAGGAAGAAAGGGAGGAAGGGAGGGAGGAGAAAGTGAAGGGGCAGGGACCTCCAGGCGGAGGGATCAGCAGGTGCGAGGTCTCGCATGTCTTGCACATGGTAGTGGAGGCATGGCTGATACAGGAAATGAAGGAGCTGGCATGTGGCTGGGCCGTGAAGACCTCGAACGCCGGGCCCAGGGGACCAGGATCCTGCCCCTCCTCTGTCCCCCGAGGCATCTGAAGTGGCTTCTCCACCCTCCACGGCAGCCACTGGGTGACCCCCATATGGTGACCACCCTCTTTCTGCCCGCAACCCAGGGTCTGGGCTCCCAGGCCCCGCCGTCCTGCCTTCCACCTACCTGCCACCCACAGAGAAGTCGGACACAGCATAATAGTAGGACTGCAGCACCTTGGGATCCTTGAAGATGTCGTCCCCAAACGTATTGAGCCGGTCCAGGGAGATGAGGAGCTCAGTGCTGGTGACCCACTCCTGGGGGGGCGGGGGACGAGGGTGGAGGAGGGAAGGCATCAGCAGGCTCCCGAGTTCTGCTGGAAGGTCCAGCTGGCTGCCCTGTGGGTCTCATGGGACCCAGGGACAAACCAAGCTTAGACAAATCACAAGAACGGTGCAGAAATAAGGAGCCTGTGTTTTGGGATCACGAGCCAGCCTGGGGGCCAGGCCACTTACTGGCTGTGCAACTTTGGGGAATTACTCGAGGTCTCAGAGGCTCCCGTTCCCCATCTGTAAAACGGGACAAGGAATTGTGCCAACCCCACAAGGGTGTTTGGAGGAGGATGGCCAATGTCAGCAGTGGGGCGTGGGGTAGGGACATGCTCAGTAAGTGGCCGAGGTGCTGGGGGGCAGGGCCGAAGCAGCCCACCCTATATCACCTGTTGGGCACTTAACTTCTCCCACCCTAGATAGTAGTGGGGGGAGGACATGTCCCAGCGCCCTTCTCCCCCACTCAGCTGGGCCTGATGTGGGGCAGGTCCTAGTTCCTAGGCTTCTCATATGCTCAGGCTCCCACAGCCAGTCACCTGCCCCAGGTGACATCTGTACCTACAAGAGTAGGGACTTGGGGCCCCTTGTTCTCACGGCATCCCCAGCCCCCAGGCTCTGCCTGGCACGTAGCAGGCGCTCAGTAAATACTTGCTGATCGCTGAATGACACCTTCCCCCTGGAAGAGCGTGGCGGGGAGGTAGGAGAGAGCCCACGTGAAGGCTGACATTTTCATCCGCCTGCTGTTATAATCAGAGGTACACAGAGGCAGCTCCGGCTGAATTTTAATCAGCATTTTAATTCAGCCCAGGAGCTCCTGGTTTAGCAATCAGGCCCATCAGGGCAGAAACGAACTTCTGGCAAAGTCTGTCCTCGGGCCCCAGCGTGACGCAGGGTCTCTGCTGCTCCCTCTGAGCTCAGCAGCTCGCCAGCCCACTGCCTGGGACCCGGGGCCTCTGCCCAAGGAGGTTTCCGCTGGGGGGGGAGGGTCCGGCACCAGAAGAACTTCAGCGGGAGTCTCAGCACCGAGCGGAGTCCGTAAGCGCCTGTCACTCAGCCAACTGCCTGGCAAATGTCAGTGTGCCTTCAGGGATCTGGTTAAAACGCAGCCTCTGAAGCAGAGGTCAGGGGCAGGGCCTGAGGTTCTGCATTTCTAGCAAATGCCCAGGCTGTGCTGATGCTGCTGGGTCCCTGGAGCAGAGAGCTAGTGCCTGGGGCGGCGGAGCCCAGTGTGCACGAGGTCGCGGGCTGGGAGAGAGAAGGGGGATTTGTTCCCTCAGCCCAAATCGTATGGGGCTCTCCCTGATGCCTTAAAGGTCATGTTAGGGCAAATCGGAGCCCCAAGGTGCAACGGGCCTTTGCAGCTCGTAATGGCCCCAGCTAAAACCACAAGTGGGCTCTCGGGTGGATTCTGGCCAGACCCTGGGGTCCAGGATATGGCCTTCAGAGGCAGGGGGCGGGGAGCTTCTGCTCCAGCCAGCACCCCACAGGGAAGACGCTCAGGTGACCACTCGGTTCTGGTGGCCCGATTCTGCTTGGCAAGCTGGCCCTCTCCCCAGGATCCTTGGCCCCTCTTGGGGAACAGAGGGACCCAAGACCCTGCAGGCACGTGGACACATCCTTCATTACTTCCCACCCCGAAATGCTCCGAGTCCTCAGAGGAAGCGCCGTCCCAGATGTTCCCAGAAGGAAGGACGGAAGGGCAAGGTGGGCTTGCCTTTCATTGTCTTTCTTTGACCTTGGGTTCTGCCTGGGATAGGGGGTGGGGTGGTGGGGGGGGCATTTCTGAAGAGGTCGTTTCTCTGTCGGGGACAACATCCAGCACATAGGAGACAAGTCACGGGAGGGTCTCAGCCCGAGCCTCTGCCCCGGGCTGATGCCTCAGACAGAGGAACAGGGGCCCGGCCCTCTGCTTGTCTTCCGATGACCTTGGCTGATAATTGGTAATCTACAGAGCTTGGAGCCCCGTGGAGAAGAAATTGTCATTTTAAACAGAATCACGATGATGACACATGAATATTTTTAAAGAGACAAAGAGGACCCGGGCATCTGGAAATGTGATCCTGTACCTTAAAGGATTAGCCTTGCCCAAAGAGAGGTTTGGCCTTTGCCCCGCTCCTGGGAGGTCACTTCTAAGCCCTTAGAATGCCCTGCTTGGTAAGAGTGTCTTTGTTGGCCTGTGGTCTCGGGCCACTCCAGACAGTCTATGCTAACAACTGGTTTATGCAGGTGCCTTGGGCCACACAGAATCAGCTTGCCCTCTGAGGGAGCTGAAGGTTAAGGTCAGCCATGCAGGCAATGGGCCATGTCTATGTGACCCACTCCTAGGTACAGGCGAGCCTCCTGGGTTGACAATACTCTGCATGCTGTCACAACGTCACTGGGAGAAAAAAATGCCGTCCCCACGACTCTATATTGGGAGAGGACAACGCGAAGCTCCACCCCTGGTCCTTCCTGGGTGCTGCTCCGGGCACCTCTTGTCGCTGGGAGTTTCACGGCTGTCATGAGTTCTGTGAGCCCTTCAAGACAATCGCTGAACCTGAGGGTGGTCTTGGGGACCCCAAACCAGCTGATTCCATGTGCCTCTGTGCTGGGCAGCCGGGGCAGGGACACAATTTCTTTCTGGGCCTAAGTGTTCCCTCTAGAGATAAACAGGAATTCTATCCCTGGCGCCCGGGGTTATCTCTGACCGGCAAAGGATGTGTTCTGAGCCTGTCAAGGGAGGGGAGGGCAGACTTTCTCAGCACAGGAGACCCAGGGGTGTGGACTAGAGGGCTGTCCAGTGCTCAGAAACATGGAGCAGAGCACTGCGTCTGTAGGCGAAAGGTCATCGACACTCAGGAACGTGGACGTGCGTGGGGACCAATACCAGTAAAGCCCACAAACCTGAGCAGACCCCGGTGGGCTGGACAGCAGGATGTGTGAATGGATACAGCTACAGGCCTATTCTTGAGCCACTGGGGGCTCTTCCCTTCAAAGCGTGATCGAGCACTTCTTACGTGCCAAGCACTGTGCCGGCCGCTTCATAATTGACTGTCCAGACCAGGCAATTTAAATTAAAATTCGTTAAAATACACTTCCTCAGTCATGCTAGTCTCATTTCTGGTGCCCTATAGACACATGGTTAGTGGCTACCACCCTGGACGGCTCAGCTAGAGACCACATCTGTCACTGCAGAACATTCTAAAGAGCGCCACCTTATAGCACAGAACCAGGACTCCACGATTCCCAAACTCATGTTCTTTTCATGTTTCTCATTTTACCCTCATAAAAGCCCTCGGGGACACACAGGGGGGCAACGTTATCGGTTCACAGAGGAAGGAAGCAAGGCCCTCGGGAGGGTGTGCTAGAAGCATCTAGAAAGAGCACCAGTGAGGAAGGAGTCAGGACACTCGGGTTCTGGTCTGGGCCCTTCCACCAACCCATGTGCGCCCCTGGCAAACCCCTTCTCCAGTCCAGACCCACATAAGGGAGGGGTCAGCTGAGTTGGTGGCTGTCACAGGGCTCCCGGGAGCCACAGGGCCCTGCCGCAGTGGGCAGGGGAAGGGACGCTTCTGCATGGCTGAGCAGGTCCTCCTCCATCTAGCTCACTGGCGGCGTCCACAACACGTGCAGACACCACAAAGGCTTCTGTTGTTTCAGATCTGAAAACTGTGGGATCCCGTAGGACCCCGGGTCCTTCCACTCATGACTTTCCTGTGCACCCCCGGGCCCGGGGATCGCCCCCCGCCCCCCGCAGCCCAGTCCCGACCGGCCAGGCCCGGCTGCTCTCTGACCTGCAACACGGGACTCTCCTCGAAGTTGTAAGCGCTGGGCCGGCCCTCCAGCGTGGAGAAGGCCACGCTGCCACCGCTCAGCGGGGAGATGTCACTGAACTCGGAGGTGCAGAAGGCCACGCGCTCGTCCTCGCCAGGGCGCAGGTACTGGCCCTCGGGCCTGCCGTAGGTCTTCTGGCAGGAGGCACTGTAATATTGGTAGGGCTGCCATGGGCCGTCAGCCTGGGTGCGCTTGTAGATGGCAAAGCTCTCGGGGCGGCTGGTATGGAACTTCAGCCTCACGTAGGTGATCTCGTAAGCTTTCCCTGCAGCAGTAAGGCATGGACCCATTTTACAGAAGGGAAGGGAGAGTCAGAGTCCTGGAGCAGGGAGAGTAGAAGGGCGACGTTGCGTTAACTATCTCGGGTGGGAGAGGCTGCCTGGAGCGCTGTGCTCAGCGTGCCATGATCGATTAGTGATGCCTGTCAGGGGCGCCGGACCGGGACAGACAGAACAACAGTGGTATGCTTCCTAGGTACCTGCCATCCTTTACCTAGGCCAACTTGCCTCCCTGCACAGGAATCTGAATGGTAACACCCCTGACAGGCAGCCAACCCCCTTTTTGCTCAAGTACCTCTAGCAACGGGATGTTGCCAAATCCTGAAAATCCTAATTTCTTTTACTACACCCCAGCAAAGCCAACCCTTCCACCCGTGTCTTTAGGCTCATCCCTCCCCAGGGACTTCAGACCCTTGGAGTCTGGAGACACCCCGTTCCAACTCCCCTGAACCCTAATGCAACCCTCCCAGGACACTCTGTTCTTCTGGTGTTCATTTAACTTCTCTCCTCGTCCAAATTTCTCAAGAGAAGTCTACATCTGCTTGGCCCCACAGCCTCACCTCCCAACTTGGCCCTCAGTTCATTGCAATTCAGCTTCTCTGGGCTGTTCCATGGAAACTGCTCTTGCAAAGCCACCTCACCAATAGCCCTCCACGGCCACAGCCAGGGGGCCTGGCCTTGCCTTACTTCCTGGGCCACTGGCCATCCCCCCAGGCCTCTGTGCAGCCCAGCCTCCTGGGTCACGTTCCTGGGCTGCTCCTCGGCCCCCCTGCTTGTCCCCGCCTTGCTCTCCTCTCCCACACTGCTAACACCAAGATGGGGAAGCTTCCAGCCTCAGGCCCGCCCTGCCCTCCTCTCTGCCCAGCTACCGCCATCATGTCCTGGAAGTACCCACAACAATGATCCAGATCCCCCACAATGACTCGGAGCTGTGCTGGAGGCCGGGAGGGGCAGGAGGGCTGTGGGTGGGGAGCACAGCGGGCAGGGAGGAAAGGGTCCCTACATCCTCATCGGCCTTCAGGGGGTGTCAGTGAGCAGTGCCTAAGAACAGAAAAACCCCCTGCACCTCTGTCCCTGTCCGCAGTCTTCCTTACCCACCCAGGAGAAGTCACTTCAGTCCTCTGGTTAAACATCTCAGTCCTGTGTAAGCACTAAAACTGTAGAACTCAGAAGAAAACCCAGAAGCAGATCTTTGTGACCTGGGCCAGGCAAAGCCTTCTTCTTGGACCTCAAAAGCAAAGTGGCAGAAGCAAAAACGGATACACTGGACCTCATCGAAGTCAAAAATGTCTGTGTTTCTTTTTTTTTTTTTAAAGATTTTATTTGACAGAGAGAGCACAAGCAGAGGGAGAGAGAGGGAGAAGCAGGCTCCCCGCTGAGCGAGGAGCCCGATGTGGGACTTGATCCCAGGACCCCGGGATCATGACCTGGGCCAAAGGCAGCCGCTTAACAGACTGAGCCACCCAGGCATCCCATGTCTGTGTTTCTAAACACACTATTGTTGGGGCGCCTGGGTGGCTCAGTTGGTTAAGCTTCTGCCTTCGGCTCAGGTCATGATCCCGGGGTCCCGGGATCGAGCCCTGCATCGGGCTCCCTGCTCAGCAGGGAGTCTGCTTCTCCCTCTCCCTCTGCCCCTCACTCGGCTTGTGTGTGCTCTCTCTCTCCCTCTCTCTAATAAATAAGTCAAATCTTAAAAAAAAAATAAAGACACTGTTGAGAAAATGAAAACCCACAGGATGGGAGAAGATATTCGCAAATTTATATCTGAGAAGAGATTTACTGAGAATATAGAAACAATTCTTACAACTCAATAATAAAAAAGACAACCCAATCAAAAAACGGCCAAAGGACCTAAACAGACATCTCTCCAAAGAAGATACGCAGCTGGCCAATAAGCACATGAGAAGATCCCCAACATCACTAGCCAGCAGGAAACGCAAACCAAAACCACAGGGGGACACCACTTCTCTCCCCTAAGCTGGATACGGTCAAAAAGACGGGTAAAGGGTGCCCGGGTGGCTCAGTTGGTTAAGCGACTGCCTTCGGCTCAGGTCATGATCCTGGAGTCCCTGGATCGAGTCCCACATCGGGCTCCCTGCTCGGCAGGGAGTCTGCTTCTCCCTCTGGCCCTCCCCCCTCTCATGCGCTCTCTCTCATTCTCTCTCTCTCAAATAAATAAATAAAATCTTTAAAAAAAAAAAAAAGACGGGTAAAAACAAGTGCTGGCGAGGATGTGGAGAATTTGGAGCCCTCCTACCCTGCTGCTGGGAATTCAAGATGGCACAGCCACTGGGGAACAGCCCGGTGGTTCCTCCAAAGGTCGACTCCGATACCGTGTGACTCAGCAGCTCCAGCCCCGAGCCTGTGCCCCAGCAAAGGCAAAACACGTGTCCACGCAAATGCACACGGATGTTCACGGCAGCACTACACATAATATCCAGAGAGTGGAAACAACTCAAATGTTTGCCAACTGACCCATGAATCAATAAAACGTGGTACATGATACAGCGGAATAGTATTCGGCAATAAAAAGGAAGGACGTTCTGATACACGCTACCACGTGGATATGCCTCGAAAACAGGATCATAAATGAAAGAGGCTCATCACAAAAGACTACACAGCGTATGATTCCACTTATCCTGGATGTCGTGCGTAGACGCGCCCATAAAGACAGAGAGTAGAAGAGTGGTTCTCAAGGTCTGGGGGAGGAGTGGAGACTGGGGGCCACTGCTAAGGGGTGCAGGGTTTCTTCTGTCCCAAAGGCGACAGTGGGGATGGGGACACACTCTACAAACAAGCTAAAACCCACTTATACTTTAAATGGGTGGGATTAGGGGGACATCTGGGTGGCTCAGTTGTTTAGGCATCTGCCTTTGGCTCAGGTCGTGATCTCAGGGTCCTGGGATCAAGCCCCGCACGTCCAACTCTCTGCTCAGTGGGGAGTCGGCTTCTCCCTCTCCCTGCTCATGCTCGCTCGCTCTCTCTCTCGCTCTCAAATAAATAAAATCTTAAAAGAATATATGGGTGGACTGTATGAGTTATATCTCTACAAAGCTATTTTATCTGTACTTAAAAATTGGACCTCCCATCCATTAGGATGGCCATGACTTGAGGCAAAAACCACCTATTAACAAGTGTTGGCGAGGATGTGGAGAAATGGAAACCTTGCACACGGTTTGTGGGACTGTAAAATGGTGCATTCGCTACGAAAACGTTTGGCATTTCCTCAGAAAGTCAAAAAAGGAAGGACCCTACGATCCCGCAATTTGGGTATATACCCCGAAGAACTGAAAGCGTGACGTCGCACAGTTATTTGTACACCCGTGTTCACAGTGGCACTATTCACAATAGCCGGAAGGTAGAAAGAAAACCCATGGATGGTGGACAAACAAACAGATGATGGACAAACGGATGGTGGACAAACAAACTGTGGTCTATCCGTAACCCGGAATAGTATTCGGCCCTGAAAAAGGAAATCCGGACACAACATTACAACAGGGATGGGCCCTGGGACGTTATGCAGAGTGAACTAAGCCAGTCACCAAAGGACAAATACTACGACCCCACTTACAGGAGGTCGTTGGAGTTGGCGAGCTCACAGAGATGGGGAGCTGAGGGAGGGGGGCCGGGAGTCAGTGTTTAACAGGAACAGAGTTTCAGTTGAAGAGGGAAAAGTCCTGCAGGTAGATGGTGGTGACGGTCACATAACAATACAAACAGCTAAGATGGTTAAGTTTTACGTTATGCGTATTTCATGCGATAAAGAAAAACTGGGGACCCCGTCTACGTGTATCGGCCCTTCGGGAAGGCAGTTTGGTGGCACAGATGAAGAGCCATGAAAGTATCCCTTGCCTTTGGTAAAATCATCCCACTTCTGGGAAATTCAAACAAGGAAAGGAGCCTACATGCGTGAAAATGTGCATCTGGGCGTTTTTTAGAACAGGAGAGAAATGGGAACCCTCAGAATCCATAAACGGGAGAATATAAATTCGCGGGATGACTGGAGCCATAGAACTGGCAGGCAAGAGCTCGTAACACACGGGCAAAGCTTCAGCCAAAACGCTGGATAGAGAAACACAAGATCATATGTTCAGAATCGTCAGATTATAATTTAAAAATCCCTGAGGAATAGGCCGAAAAGAGAGACATCAAATGGGTTGAGGCTGCAAATTTAATTCTTGTCACAGTTTAGAAGATCTTGGGGCCGCTCCCTTCCCCGGCCTTTGGGTTGCCTTTGGCAGAAACCTTTTCATCACAAAGCTGGGATTAAGTTGTTTTCTTGGCCCTTCTAATTAACTCTTGTAATAAAAAGTCCCTGCCGAGTCTCTGTGATATTCCCGTGTCTTCTCTCACCTCCTGGCTTGGCAAGGAAGAGGAAAAGCCGTGATGTTTCCTAGCGCGTGATGTTGCTTCTTCGCATGAAATCCCAGTGACTGCCTTTTTCCAATCACGCTTCTAGCTGCCAGCTACCTTTTAAGTGGCTCCAAGCTCCCCTCCCGCGAGGTGTCTGGCTGCTAGATGTTTACGGAGGAGTCTGGGCCGTGGGACCCGAAGCAGCCTCCACTCAGCATGCTCTCATGAACAAGTCAGTGTTAAGTCCCTGCCCGGTTCCGAAGCCTGGACGTCGGAACAGAAGCAGCCACTGGGCTGCCCCCAGACACCGACTCGGTTTCCAACACATGCTTTCTTGTCGGGGGCTTGGCGTTCCGGTGCCAAGCTGTGCTGCAATGGAACTTTGAAAAACATTTGACAGAGCGTGTGGCGGGGGTTTTTTTTTACAAAAAAAAAAAAAAGATTTTTTTTTTTTTTGTGTTTTCTCCAGTTTTTAAATTAGAATAAGCTTTGTGAGAGAAAATTAGGAAAACATAGAACAGTTGAAAAGGAAGAAATGTCACTCACAGCCCTCTGCCCAGAGGGCAGCCATGCCTATTCATTTGATGTCTCTCTTTGACGAGGCTTCAGGGTGATTAAGATAGGTGTGTTCCTG